CACACATTCACACACTGGCAATGGCAAGCTACGTTGTAGCCACAGCTGCCCTGGGGCGCACTGACAGAGGCGAGGCTGCCGGACACTGGCGCCACAGGGCCCTCTGACCACCACCAGTATGTCAGTAATGCTAGGTTTCCTAATCGCAGAGAAAAGTTAAAGACTACACTTCAATCACATATTAACAAATCCACTGACATTGTTGTTTAAAACCTTGTTGATCTGCTGAATGGTCATATATCAGTCTGTGTCTCTAGATACAAAGAAAAATTACTTTATTGCATCAGAAATGACACACTCTCTGTTTCATCTCACTCTTTACAGCAGCTTGTGATACAAAACGCACGTGACAAGATACTGGGTGACAGGTCCTTACAAGAGAAACTTGCTGAAAACATCAACAAAATCCTTGCAAAGTAAGTAACACGATAGGACTCTTCATTTTGTTTGCACTTGGATGTATTGTGCATAGTTTTTGATAATGATTGTGCTGTTTCCTACTCTGTTTCATCACTACTATCAGTGAGCCAATGCCCCAAACATCAAAGGGTTCTTCAAGTACAGTGGAAACAGACCAGTCTATAGATGAAATACTAGGATTACAGGTGATTTTTTTTCTTAACATTTTGCTTGTAATGTTTTCACTTTTTCTGTGTAATTTATTATTATTTACTCACGTATACAGGGGGAAATTCATATGAGTGACGACGCCATCCATGACATTTTGGAGCAAACTGAGTCCGACCCAGCTTTTCAGGCTCTCTTTGACCTCTTTGACTGCAGTAACTATGACCTCATTTACTTTAATGTGTTTTCCTTTAAATAATGGTTCGCAAATGTCTGTAACAGTTTAACTAAAGAACTTTTTGTAAGACTTTTTATAAATTGATGTTTGCAGATAAAACTAAATTTGCAGATGGAGAAGCAGGAGATGGCGATACGAGCAGTAGTCCAGAAGAGACCGACACTGCTGGAACTACATCTGCAATCAGACTCCTTCAAAATATTGATACAGGTAGTCTGTCATAATCTAAACGTCGAAAAGGCAGCATAAATGTCTACAGAAAGTCTGGAAGGGGCTTAGAGGTGTAAGGCTGTAGCTTCTTGAGCTTCTAACAGTTGGTAAACTTTGTAAACAAAGTCAAAAATTGAAAAGTACCTATAATTATTCCTAATTTAAGAACTGAAATGAACTGCAGGAAAATACTAGCCATGACGAAGAGGTGGAGTGCACTTTCAGACAGTCTCTCCTGCAAGACATTCATGGTGTTGTTCACAGTAGTGTTGAGAACTGTGGGGAAAAAGAGAGTGGTTGACAGCTGGTTACAGGAACATCCCTGCCACTTGGACTTCATAAAACCTGGAAGCATCAGTTATGAAATTATAATAAAAATCCAAACATTTTTCCAAGTTTAAATAACTTTCTATGAGAGGTCAAGCAGGTTATCATTTTTGCTAACAATAGAGACAAATGAATAATTGAACTCTGTTCTATTTTCAGGTGCCACACACAGTGATTCAGCTGCTTCAGATACAACACCAATGACGGTGAAGACGAAACCTGGGCAAGAGCGAAAGACAAGAAAGTCCGCTCCTCCAACACTGTTAAAGAAAACAGTTCTTGGTCCCAGTGGCAGATCATCCAGGATTGAAAACAGTTCAGCCAGACTGATAGTGAGTCAAGGGGATCCCCGAGGTGTCTCAAGTGCTCCAACAAACTCAAACAGAAAAGAAAAAGATGCACTTTTCACTAACACTGTCAATGAAACACCAATGGATATTGATGAACCACTGAATACACCTCCCCCTCCTCCTTTGGACAGTTTGGCCACTCAGGAGCCTCCCGCAAAGGACAGCACTTCTATTGCGCCTGTCTTTGGTGAATCTTCCACAGATCCCTCGCCAGTGGACTCTTGTGCTTTTCCTGAGCCAGAGGAAACATCGGCCTCAAATATGAACAACCAAAAAGAACCTAAACAATCACAAGAGTTTAAAGATCAACCTGGTGCACTCGGAGCATCATCTTTGCCTCCCAAACAAGCTCAGCTGAACATCACTCCAGCGCCCGCCGCTGACCTACCTCAAATATTACTCTCAAACAGTGGAGGAGATACTCTACCAGTGTCTACTTTCTCAGTAATATCAAAATCTGTCTTAAAAACATCCTCTTCTACAGATACTACAGCTTCAGCAGCCTCACCCTCATCTGCTTTTATTGCTGCCCCATCTACGGCAACACCTGCTGCACCAACGTCTGCTTCTACCTCTGCAAGTCCAAGAGCTGCACATGCCTCATTCACAGCTGCCTCACCCGCATCCTCGTCCTCCTCCTGTGCCCCCGTTGCCCCTCCTCCTGCAGCTTCAGTTGCAACAACAGCTGATCTGTTAACCACAAGCATCCCAAACACGGCTGCAACAGACTCCAGTAATGTCATGTCTTTGAAAATAATCATAAGTGATAACCAGGATGAAGGTTCTTCCAGCGACACAGCCTTAAACCAGGCAATTTCCAGCATTTCTGGAGACAAGATTCCCACCATTTACGTTTCCTCCCCAGCTAAGCCGGTGGGATGCCCTGAAACTCCAAAGGCCAACATGGATGAGGTGGCGCAGGCAGTTAGTGGATTACAAAGTTCTGAGGCATTTGCTAGTCCTCTGAGCAGCAAGGCTGGAGCAATAACTGCATCTCCACTAACTGGAACGTCACAGGCCCAGCAGAGCTATATAATTCAACTACCCCTGGATGCAACTAACCCTGCCCTCCAAGGAGCCAGCTATTTCCTTGTAACAGAGCCCCCATCTAACGAAGCTGAAGGCAGACAGGTGGTGCTGCCTGCTGGTGTCTCAAACGGACAGTCTTTACC